AAAAAAAAAAAAAAAAAAAAAAAAGGGTTATCATGCAATATTCATAATAAGGTTTGAAAAAAGAGCTAAAATGACTTCCAACAATAGGTAAACATACATATTGTGAGCTGAAAAACTTCCTCGTGTTCTAAACAATTTGTAAAGGATAAAAGAGCTTGGACAATGTTTCATTTATCTTTCGATATAGTACACCTCACAATACAACACTCGTTAAGAAATCATTTTTTAAAATTTATATAAAAACGTATAAAATTTAATAGTTGAATTGATGAATGTTGTGTAGTGTGTTATACTAAAAAATATATTAATTATTTTTCAACCATATAACTTAACTCCGCGTAAATTCTAACATTAGAAATCTATGTGTCTTTGGCATACATAATCGCTGAAGATGCCAAGCAAAGAGTGGCGGCTGTAATTTTTGAAGTAATCAAATTTTTCTTGAAGACCTGAACTTGGATGATGATGCTGCAGTATGTGCTTTACCAAGTTTCATATCTCTCAGCTTTCATGGAATCTTAATTAAGACTCTTAATTTTGAATCATATTTTATAAGAAGAATGTATCTACACAAGGGTCATCTATCCAAACAAGCGACTGAAATTTCAAATAAAGCAATACATATAAACTTGTTTCTAGGAGCCTTGTAAATATTGATCTTTTAAATCTCTTTCTAAGCAAGCTTGTCTCCTTCTTTGATTATTTTCGATCAATTTTACATATCTACTTTGCACATATAAGTTTTCTAGTCGCCTCTTTGATTTATAAATAAATTATTTGTTTTCTTTAAGGTTGTAATAAAATTAGAAATAAAAAAGAGAGAAAATAAAACATTACACAACATGAAAACAAGGTCACATAGAATTTTAAATCTTATGGTTAGACAATTAGAACCATATTTACCTAACAACCTAGTGAAAATTGGTGGTAATTCAAAAATGTCAAAACCAACATAAATGTGAATAAATTTACATAAAACCCAACTCCAAAGCTAGTGTATATGGCTACAACTAACTGGGCAATGACACGGCACTAAGTTAAGTATGAGTTAATGGGTCAAAGACAGATGTAACTGGTTGTCATGAATTATGAGGCAATTATTCAAGTGATATGTAGTTCTGGGGCTAAATAACAAATATTGTGTGTTAGGGGCTAAAATCCTCAATGATGACAAGATTTGTATACTGAATTTGTTTAGTTTTGTTTTATTTCAATTGATAATTTAATTTATTTGCACAAAGCCTTTATGTCTTGTTTGAATTAATTATAAAGCCTTTACTAGGTATAGTTAAAAATCTCCTATAAACAAAGCCCAAAGAGATCACCGAAAAGAAAACGAAGCCTAGACAAAAAATGGCCGGAGAACATGGAGATTTGGGTTTAACAAATTACTAATGAGGGAGAAGGACATGGGCTTAGTATGGGCCTCTGGACCTAACTTAAGGCTTTTCTTTGGACTTTGAATCCATTAGAAAGAGGGGAAATGAAATGATGTGGGAATATTTTGTTTTCAGTTTTATAATTTTTATAATGTAACAAAATAATAATAATTTACAAAACAAAATAATAATAAATAATAAATAAATTTACTCATACATAAATTTTATCTTTATATATATAATTTTAATAATTTATTTCATGAATAAAATTATTTATATTTATTAAAAATAATTATTTTTATTTAAAAAGACATAATATATTTTAACCATTAAAAATAAAAAATATATAATTAAAATTTTATATAAAAAATAATATGTATACTTATATATTTAAATAGACCTCTCATAAATAATAATAATAAGATTAAAGATATATTTTACAATAAAATAGATAATTAGCGGTCACAAAATTTCAACCGCAATAATAAGAAGATTTTAAAAGAAGAATAGAATAGAAAGAGGCCTCCGACGTAAACTCGGCTTCCACAAATCGAAAGCGCTCCGTTCCTCCTAGGGGTTCCGGTGAAAGCCGATCAATTCAGCAACAAGAATTCAGTCCACCGTAGTGGGGTATTACCTTTCCTCTCCTCTATTACTTTCGTTTTTTTCTCTTTGTTTACTTGTTTGTTTGTGTTTATAATTTCATTCTCGCTTGTTTTTAATAAAACGGAACCCTTGTTTTTTACTCTTTTTTTTTTTTGGGTTTCTTATCTGCTTTTGTTTTTTCCCAAGTTAAATAGCTAGATGTCATCGACTTCCAAGAAATCCGGGACTCGGTATGCGGTTGCGACAATGGGAGGTTTTGACAGGATCAGCAGTCCTTCGGATGAGGCAGCACACTATCTTCTCTGTTTTCTCCATGTTGGAGACCTTTCCCAGATGATGTTGGTATCCAAGAGGTGGAATAGGTTATGTTAGTCCATCCCTGTATTAATTATTGGTATATCGTACACTATACATGAGTTAATAATTAATCAGTTAATTATTGGCTGAGTATGACTTCCGTCCATGAACATATCAGTATACTGTACTCTACACATGAGTATTTCCACTAAATGAGTACCTGAGACAAGCAGGGATATATACATGAGTTAACGGAAAATTTCGAGCTTAACTTAATTTCCAGTTGAAATATCAGTTCTGAAAGGAAAAAGAAACAATATTAGACTACAGTTTATTTTGGATTTAGTTTAATTTAACCAGCACCCCTTAACCCCCTTGTTTCTATGTTTCAATCTTAACGTACCCAAGAACGAAGTAGCAGGGAAATAGATTCAACTTTCCCTAACACCACAGGTTCAATCTCCTAGATGGCTTAATATCACAAGATAAGAGGAATGCTGAAGCAGGTTTTGAGGATCATTATCCAAATTTTGAGAAGAACTGAACTACCAGCATGTTAAATGGCAGTATCTCACTGTGTAAGCACAAAAATTCAAACAATAATATACATAAGGAAAATTTTTACTTATATGGGACTGAACTAACATGGTAAACTGATAATTGCATATCATGTAAAATTTGGTCCACCAGAACAAAAATTTCTTAAATGATAAAATTAAACTAACCTAATCTATACCTAACAGTCAACAACAGTTGCTTGGTTCAATGTTATACTGGGAGTGTCGGCACTTCAAATTGAAATAATTAATAAAAAAGCAATCAATCAAGGATGATAAATGCTTGTTGAAGCAGTACAATAAAGTATAAAAGCAACAAAACTGGGTTGGCACGATCCTTCGAACTTCGAGATCGATGTCTCATGTTCCATTGGGCCAGAGTGTGGTTTTGGGACAGCTATCAACGCACCAAGTTTCGAG